TAAATCGGAATAGAGCTGGAAGGGACCTTGGAGGTCTTCTGGTTCAACCCCCCCCCCCCGCTGCTTAAACAGGAAACCCTATAACATTCGTAACAAGTGGCTGTCCAGTCTTTTCTTAAAAACCTCCAGTGATGGAGCACCCACAACTTCTAGAGGCAGGCTGTTCCACTGGTTAATTGTGCTCACTGTTAGGAAGTTTCTCCTTAATCCCAGATTGCTTCTCTCCTTGATTAGTTTCAATCCATTGTTTCTTGTCCTGCCTTCTGGTGCTTTGGAAAATATATTCACCTACTCCTCATTGTGGCAGCCCCTCAAATACTGGAATACTGCTATCCTGTCACTCCTAGTCCTTTTATTTATGGAGAGATGATGTTGCCAGGAAGGAAAGTCTTACCCCTCTGAAGATGATGCTATGGGAATTGTCTTTTCAATTATATTTGCATACTCTTGGCTTTAGATGTCCAATTGATGTAGTGACAGCTAGCTCTTCTTTTTGGGATTGCTTTCATCCCTATTTTTATTCTCCCTGTTTTACGTCATCCCACCACCCAGAACACGTGATGCCAGGTCAGCTTGCTCCAAATTCCCTTCCTTGTCTGAGCAGTGATAACATTTTGGAATGTAGCCAGTATGATTAGAAGTGACTGAGAGAAAAGAAGTACAAAATATAAGGCTCCCGTTTTTGGCATCGTCCACAGATTCAGATCAAGCTCTCACGTAGGCATGAGTTCACTTTTGAACCAACTAGACAAATTGGCTAAAAAATCCAGGAGGAATTCTCCCACTGTCCCTCAAGCACAGGACTCTATGTTAACACTGGCAAAATGGCTTAAAGCTACAGAAAGTATAGAAGGAGGCCAAAGGCAGGGAGTCTGTGGAGGTTCTCAATCATCCAAGTCATGGTTGTCCCAAAGATGCTTTTTCAGGAGGCAATTGGACTTTCTTGAAGACGCTTCACTTCTCATCCAAGAACTTTATTGGTTCTGATTGAATGGTGGAGAATGGAAGGAAAGGGAAGTTTGTCCACAAAACAACGACTTCACAAATGCATGGCACAACATCAAGACAAGATTCAGCACTCCATCTGCATTTGAAAGATGAAGGTTGCTTTTTGAAGACAGCAAAGTTCACATTATGGATAGAGAGGACCAATGGTTTGAAAGTGGGATCAAAGAGGCTATCTGTATTAAGATTGAACAGCCCTCTGTCAACAGGGGTGGGGGTGGGGATACGACACCACCTGTCTTCTGTTTACAACCAGTCCTTTCAGCAGTCCCAAGAAGGTTCCACACCCATTTGCACTATTCAGGTGACTCTGGAGGCATAGATAAACCTCCAAGTGTCCTCAACAAGTCTCAGAAAGAGTGCTAAAAACTAGATGACTGCAAGGAATATCAGTCCTTCTATCCTCCTCCATTCAGTCAGAATTGAAGAAACTTCCTGGATGAGAAGTGAAAAGTCTTTAAGGAAAAACAAAGATAGCCCAGTTGCCTTTTGAAAAAGCACCTTTGGGTAAAAACAGGGCATTCATACAAACTCTTCATTGCTTAACTGAAACACATGCAAAAACATTGTGATCCTCATGAGCATTGCATCAAAATACTGAGATCCTTTGAGGGAAATTTCTAAAACAAATTATGCTTCAGCAAATTAAACCAGGACTGGAAGAAAACAAATGCAAGGGAATTTATCTGCCCAGGTTTAATCTAGTCTGATACAAAACTTTTCCCACAACGGCGTTTGAGTGTACTCCATCCATCGCTTAGTCAGCAAAAAAATTTTTTTTTTACATCAGCATGAAACGCTTTGTTCCCATTGATGACCAGTGTTTATTACTTTTGTTCTGGTCATTCCCAGTCCTTTAATGTTCCTCCAAGGTAATAGATACCCAAAGCCTAATAGATTTCACCCATCTTCATGATATTGAAAGAATGGGCAAAAATATTGTTTTAATATTGGCAAGAATGACTTCACCTGCTCACCCTCAGACTGGGGATGAGATGAAGGCAACATCAACCAAACAAGCAAAGAGAACTTTATGAGGATAAGGCCATAATTACAGAAGGACAAGTAAAATCACTTTGCAAACCAGTATTTTATTTTATTTTTAGCAACTTGCAAAGCTCCTGTAGCAATACTGGTAGTCCTTGGCTTAAAACAGTTTGTTTAGTGACTATTTAAATAACAGCACTGAAAAAAGTTGATTTGTGACCATTTTGCACACTTATGACCATTGCAGCATTCCCATGATCACGGATGAAAATTCAGATGCTTGGCAACCAACTCATATTTATGACAGTTATAATGTCTCAGAGTTACATGATAATCTTTTGCGACTTTCTGACAAGCAAATTCAATGGGGAAGTCAGATTCTCTTAACAACTGTGTTACTAACTTAACAATTGCAAGGATTCACTTAACAACCGTAGCAAGAAAGGTCATAAAATGGGCCAAATTCATTGAACAGTTATCTCACTTAGCCACAGATATTTTGGGCTCAGTTTTGTTCATAAGTTAAGGACTGCTTATAAATAAAATAGGCTATCCCTGTGATCTTTGCTCTCTCTCCAAAGAGTAACAGAATAACAGAGTTTGAAGGGACCTTGGAGGTCTTCTAATCCACCCCCCTGCTCAGGCAAGAAAACCTAAACTATTTCAAACAAATGGTTGCCCAATCTCTTCTTTAAAATCTCCATTGATGGAGCACCCACAACTTCTGGAGACAAGTTGTTGCACTGATTAACCGCTCACAAAATTTCTCCTTAGTTCTAGGATGTTTCCATCCGTGACTTCAGGTATTTTGGAGAATAGGTTAACTCCCTTTTCTCTTTATGGCAATATTATAGTCACAAGTGGAGGACAACCTGCATAAGCTCCTTTGAGGTTTATATAAATGAAAAATAATACCCCCTTTGCTGTCCAATAGATAATTTTAGTATAATCAAAAGGAGGGGCACTGTTGCCCTAAAGGAAAAAAAAAGTCAAATTAGTTCCTTCTAGCATCGTCAGTCTGTTTAGCTTGTCTGCTCAATAGAACTGGAACTTCCCAGGTCTGTGTTCATTCTTGATTGAACCTTGTGAACTAAAAACTACTTGTGCCTCGTTAGTGTCTCAAGTGTGGAAGAGAACATTCAGGGTTTTATAAATGAATGCTGTGTTTGGAAATATGCGACTGCTCAAACTGTACAACTGTTCACTCTGGATCATTGAGGATTTGGCACCAGAACTTCACACCTTTTCAGAGGGTGAATTGAAAGAAATGGTGAAGGACATCAAAGTACAGGGGATGCAGTGATTCCCTTGCTTTTGAGCAAACTGGGCTAATATAGTTTTCCAGTGGGAACTCTGTCAATGGTATTTGCATACCATTTTTCATTTGTTAATCTTATACAGGTTGTCCTCGATTTATGACTATACTAGAGCCTGACCATTATAGCAATAGCACTTAGACTTATATACAGCTTCACAGTGCTTTTTACAGCCCTTTCTAAGTGGTTTACAGAATATTGCCCCCAACAATCTGGGACCTCATTTTACTGACCTCGGAATGATGGAAGGCTAAATCGACCTTGAGCCTGGAGAGATTTGAACTACCAAACTGCAGCTAGCAGTCAGCTGAAGTAGCCTGCAGTACTGCATTGCGCTACCATGGCTAAATTATGATGATCATAAAGCAGATCATCACATTACCAGATAAGATTTAATCTTTTTTATGTCAGTTGTTAAGTGAGCACCACAGTCGTAAAATGAGCATGGTGACTGTTAAGCAAACTCATTGTTTTTTAAGGTTTTTTTTTTACTGAAATAAATACTAATTTTTAGTTGTGGGGGGAAAATACTAGTTTTTGGCAAAAAATATCAAAAATTGCAGTTATGTGACCATGGGGTGCTCCAAGTGGCTGTAAATACAGGCTAATTGCTGAGTGTCGGAAATATGGTCACATGATTGGAGAAGCGCTCCTGACCTTTGGAACTTTGAAATCAAATCATGATAGTCACTGCATTAAGTGCTTTGTGGGTAAATACACATAATCCATAACTTATGACCACAATTGAGCCCAGACTGAGCTGCTAAGCAAGATGGTTGTGAAGTGATTTTTGCCCCATTTTGTGACCTTTCTTGCCAAATTATTAAGTTAGTAAGCCAGTTGTTAAGTAAAATCTGCCCCCCCCCTTGACTTTGCTTATCAGAAGGTCATAAAGGATGATCACATTACCCAGGGACACTGCATCTGCCATAAATATGAGTCAGTTGCCAAGCGTATGAATTCTGATCATGTGACCATGGAGATTGTTGCAACAGTCAGTAAGTATGAGAAATGATCATAAGTCACTTTTTTTTCATTGCCGTAACTTTGAATGGCCACTAAATGAAGTGTTGTAACTCAAAGACTACCTGTATTAGAGGTAGAAATCATAAACAGCATTGCCCACGGGCTTTAAAATGCCCATGGATTTCTACAAAAAGCTGCTCAAATTGAAGATAAGTACATGTTTGTTCCTGACTGCAGTAATTAGTGATAAGACCGGTTTTCTAGCTTTGACAATCTTTTAACATATTTTGATCTTTTTTCCTCCTTTGTCAGCAGGAAAATAGAAGAGGTTTTGAATAGGGGTTCCACAACCCTTCTACTGAGTTAACTCTGAGTAATAAGATGGGGGTAGTCTATAAAATGAAACTCTCGTATTTAAAAAAAATATATGATGCTTGCTTTAATCCCATTATTATTATTATTATTATTTTTACTGATATTTTCAGTTGCCAGAAGCGTCTTAACAGTTGCAATTTGGGGTGGGCTGTTGGGATTCACATTTGGAACAATATGTATAATTTTATTTTATTTTTAATTTTTTGAGAAAACGCTTTTGCAATAGTTCATTTTATAACTGAGGGAATTTTTTTTTCAAGGCTTGCTTGCATGCATTCATGCATACATATATAAAAAGGGTTAAAGGCTAGGTTTAAATAACCCACTAATTGACAGAACATAGACTTCATGTGTGAAGAAGATTCTAATTTAATATCTAGCTTCCCCAGAGAAGAAAAAAGAAGAAACAGATGGAAATTGTATTTCTTGCTCCAAAGAAATTCCTTTCTAGCCCGTTATGTAGAACAGGTGGGCGAGAGACTTTGAGCATTAATTGTTATAATTAGATATAATTAGATTATGAATTTGTTATACAAAAGTTGTTGGATTCTTTCATAATGGCTTCGTAGTTTTCCTGCAATAAATTGACTAACCTTCAATTTTGCATTACAGTTTAATAATATATGTTATACATGTAGTCCTTGACTTACAGCCATAATTGAGCCCAAAATTTATGCTGCTAATTGAGACAGTTGTTAAGTGAGCTTTCCCCCTTTTACAAGCTTTCTTATTGTTAAGTGAATCACTACAGTTGTTAAGTTAGTAGCACGGTTGTTAAATCTGGCTTCTTCATTGACTGCTTGTCAGAGGTTACAAAGAGTAATCTCACCGGGGACATTGCAACTGTCATAAATACGAGTCAGTTGCTGTGTGTCTGAATTTTGAATCACGTGACCATGGGAATTTTACAATGGTTGTTAAGTATGAAAAATGGTCATAAGTCATTTTTCTCAGTACCGTTATAATTTCTAACTGTCACTAAATGAACTGGTGTGAGTCAAGAACTATTTGTAGTCACTATAATTAGGGCGTATCCAAATTTTCAATTTCCAAACATTAGAGGTGCTCAAAATTTGTGACAAGTCTTTGGCGATTGTAAGGCTATTTTGGTTATTTTAATATAATTTAGATATGCTTGGTAAGTAACTATGTAAATATCATAACTTTTTAACATTTTGTTTGTTTCATTAATATGGTGTTTTATTGTAACTGAGAAGCCTGACAATATGGGGTAAAAAGTTCAAAGGTATTAACTGATTTGGTATTAACTAACTTCTGTATTCTTCTTTAACTTCAAAAACTTTCCTAGGAATCTTTAAATCACTAACAATTTGGAAGAAATTCAGTTATGTTTTTATGTTGGAAAGTGCATTATAATGTAAAAAAAAATCATAAAAGTTTCCTCATTCTTTTCACTTCCATAGCAGCTACAAGTCCCTAAACTCATGTATTATTTTGACTTGTTTGGCCTCCACCTCTTTAATTCTTGACATTTAAAATGTGTAAAATATAGGTTTATCAGGTTACATACAGATTGGAGCTGCTTAGAGTCTTTTTAACATCATACAGCTTTACACATATTCCCTATATAATAGGAGAATTTTGAAACTGTTTTCTTTTTTTTTGTTTACCAACTTATGATCTCAGGCAGATTGGGGGTGAGAGCTGGGAAAAGTTAATTCCTTTTTGTTGTGTAGTAAGCTTCCTATTTACAATTACCTTGATTCAAAAATCTTTTCCAGTCACTTTGTCTCATTCCTGTTGCAAGGCCAAGACTTAAGTGATGGTTTTTGTGTTTTTGCAATACAATACTGGTTTTCGCTTTCATTATCCTTGAATTTTCTACATATCTAATGCTCTTCAACAGAAGTTCAATACAAGTAGTCCTCAACTTACGACCACAATTGAGCCCAACATTTTCATTGCTAAGCAAAAGAGTTGTAAAGTGAGTTTTGCCCTATTTTACGACTTTTTTGCCCAGTTGTTAAATTAATCACTGCAGTTGTTGGCTTCCCTACTGACTTTAACTTGCCAGAAGGTCACAAAAAGTGGTCATGTGACCCTTGGACACCGCAACCATCATAAATACATGCCAGTTGCCAAGCATCCAAATTTTGATCATGTGACCATGGAGATGTTGCAACTGGCATAAATGTGAAAAATGACCATACATCTCTGGCTGTAATTTTAAACGGTGACTAAATGAATGGTCATAAGTCAAGGACTACCTGTAATGCTGGGCAAGCAAGAGAAATCACCTAGCACTCCTGATTTTCCTTCTGCTTGTCTGCAGAAAAATTATGTGAGTAATTCATGGTGGCCAATTAAACAGATCTTCGCATAGGAGACCCGCTTAAGAATTCTGTGCAATTGCCTTGAGCTTCACCATGGAAAAAATGGAATATTGAAATACAATAAACGAATCTGTTTTAAATAGATGAAAGGTTAATCCAACACCCAGAACGTAGAACAGAAATATCCATCATACACAAATATTTTAGCAGCTTACCTGCAGGAAATGAATGCAGTAGAGATTTGCCAAGGCAGAGGAGCCATTTACCCAGTTATGGTAATCAGCGCATCAACTTTAAGATAAGGTGAAAGGGACCTTGGAGGTCATCTAGCCCAACCCCTGCATGAGCAGGAGACCCTATACTATTTCAGGACAAGCACAAGCCATTTAAAGAGAATCTAAGGCAGTCCTTAGCTATGTGTACCTTGCTGAGTGTTTCCAAATAATTTTGGCTTAATTCAACAGGTTTGTAAGAAAATTGACCAGACTAAGTACAAATTTCATAGTTTGAAATGTTAGGCTATTGTCAGCCTTTTTTTAAAAGTAAAAACTGTTTCATATAAACCAGGTAAGAAGCCCTGATAATTACATATCTGGTCTCAGCCTCAAGTGACTATTTTTTTCCCTGTCCTCCCCTTCCCTTCTTTCTCTTCTTTTCTTTCTTTTGCTGTCCTTGTTTTGCTGTCATGGTCTTCTTCTTCTTGTCTGAAACTTTCCTTGTTTACAGATACATAACTGAATTTGTGGACCTGGGCAATGTCTCAGCCTTACGAACATTCAGAGTTCTCCGGGCGCTGAAAACAATCTCAGTCATTTCAGGTGAAAAAATAATTATAATGGGGTTAAACACTTGGGATGCACCAGTAAAGCTTATGTGCCATTCCCCCATAGCAAAATGGCAGGCGGTAGAATATGGTTTGGTATGAATGAGTAAAGGGAACAGAGGAACCTATCAATAAAATGCCTTTTGATATGGCCCCTCATCCACTCCCTCAAAATTTATTTTGTGGTGAGCATAAAACATTTTTGTGGATCTAAAATATCTGAGTAGAAATTTATGTGTGTATGTGTCTTCAGGTCAGTCTTATTATACAGGTATGTCCATGCTGTTTTCTAGGCAATGTTTTCCAAAATGGTTCGCCATTGTTTCTTTCCTAGGGCTGAGAGGGAAGGACTGACCCTACAATGTCTAGAAGGCTTTCATGCCCAAGGCAGGATTAGAACTCAGAGTCACCCAGCTTCAGCCTAGGATCTTCCTCACCGCACCTCAATGGCTCTGGGCTGATAGGATGGGTCAGGTCCAAAGTCCCCAATCTCCTCATTTCTTGTGAATGAGGAAAAGGTTACCATTTGATTCTCCTCCTCACCTCTTTCTCAACATCTCCAATGAGATAGAAAGAGAGAGAGAGAGTGACTGGTCAAAATCATGCAGTTGACTTCTAAGGCATGACTCAAACTCAAGTTTTTATGCTTCTAGTCCAGAGGTCTCCAAACTTGGCAATTTTAAGACTTAGGGATTTCAACTCCCAGAATTCCTCAGCCAGCCACACTGGCTGAGACATTCTGGGAGTTGAAGTCCACAAGTCTTAAATTTACCAGATTTGGAGACCCCTGTTCTAGTCCAACACCTTAAACTACTAGCCCAAACTGCCTCTTAGAAATATGATGTGCAAAGATACCCCTCCAGCAATACAATTCAGGAGTCAATTTAATATCTTACACCTTGCACTTGTTAGAAAAATAGAACAAAAGTACTAAATTTGGTCCAATACATTGAAAAAATTTTTTTCCCATGAGAATTGTTTGGAGGTAAATTGCAAAAATATGACACTTCCCATGGAAAAAGTTAGATCCTTCAATAAAATTAATTTGAGGGTAAAGGCTATTTATATTTATAAATACTTATATTTATATAAACATGCTTTTTATAGCTGAAAAAAGAGAGAGATGAATCTAGTTTTGTTTTCTCACTTTGTTGACTCTGAGACGTATTGGACTACAACCCCCATCATCCGTTGAACGGATGAGAATTGAAGTCCAACATTGTTGGAAGGCTGGATTCATTTTTTTTTTCCAGTAGTGTTAGGCCCAGCATTTTAGAGCAAATGTCAGCTGAATCTGGGCACAATCCACAAGTGCTTTTTCCCCCTCTGAAACCCTATTGGGACAAATATAATAGTGTAGTCTTCTTATAAAAGTTATTAAAATTTCCAATGGTGCCAGCTCCCTTCTTTGACATCCTCTCACATTACCTTATTTTAGTCAAAAATGAAGGCAATTCCATTTTTCCCCCCTTTCCCCTTTTTATGAAAATTAGTTATGGATGCTTTCATCTTTCTGTCTCCCCCTTCCCCTCTTCCCCCCTTTAAATTGACAGCGGAATGTACTCTAAAAGTGAAACAATGGGGAAAAATAAATATGCCAGGGGCTTATCTGTGGGCAGGGCTTCTTCAGCCTTAGTGTTTAACATCTTTCACCTGCATGGCCAGGTAGAAAAGAATGTCAAAACAACCCACCCTGCACATGACAAATGTTGTCTATATGACCACAACTCAGCTCAAAATTCCCAAGACAGCAAAGTGAATTTTGCCTCACTTTATGACCTCCTTGCCACAGTTGTTAAGTGCATCACTGCAGTTGTTAAGTTTGTAATCGGTTGTTAAGGGAATCTGACTTCCCTGTGGTATTTGCTTGTCAGGAGGTCACAAATGGTGACCACATGATCCCAGGCCATGTAACCATCATAAATGTACATGCTAGTTGCCACGCTTCTGAATTTTAATCACATGACTTTGGGGATGCTGCAACAGTCATAATTGTGAAAAACAGTCATAATTCATTTTTTTTCAATTCTATTGTAACTTTAAATGATCATTAAATGAATGGCTGTAAGTCGGGAACTACCTGTACATGGTTATCCTGAACAGATGTTGTCAATTATAGGCTTAAAAAAGGGACTGTTTTGTTTTTATTTTAACTTATTTTATTTTAGAGAGAGAAATATAGGGATGATAGACCAGGAGTGGCAGAATCAACTCCTTTTAAGACCTACCACTAAATTATGTGGCAAAATGTTCACACTGCAGCATTCTCCACTGAAACTAAAGTAATGACACTTGTTCTGAGGCGCCTGTGAAGCATTTAAGGGATGAATGTCATATTTTCCAGAAGGCAAGTGAAAATCCACAGGAGGAAAATGCTGTTGATTTTAGTGGATCTGGATTTCCTTCTCCTTATCTTTCCTGATCCTGTACTGAACTGTACAATGTAAAGAAACTAATGGCGAGTTTTTAGACAATGAAATACTTTTGGCTTTCCTGAAAAGTTTTTGCCTAAACATGTAGCAGAAGAAGATTGCTCAGTTGTCAGGTAAAAGAAAAAGACAAAGGTTTTCCTTTGTCCAGTCATGTCCAATTCTAGGGAGCGGTGTTCATCTCCATTTCCTAGCGAATGGAGCCAGCATTGGCTGAAGAGATTGTCGTGATCATGTGGCTAGCATGACTCTACACCGGAGTGCATGGAACGCTGTTACTTTCCCACCGAAGTGGTACCTATTTATCTTGTCACATTTGCATGCTTTCGAACTGCTAGGTGGGCAGGAGTTGGGATAAGAAATGGAGTTCATCCTATCATGCAGTGCTTGGGTCTTGAACTACCAATCATCCAGTCAACAAGCCCAATGCCTTAACCATAAACTTGTTTATGTATGGAAAGATAAAGACTTCCTCAATGGTGCTCAGGTCTTAGCAACTCTATGTCCTGGCCATGTAGATTTTTCCTTGCAACAATAATAGGGGTTTGCTGTTGATTTCTGGGATTTTTTTCTTCCAAATTCCCAATCTAGGTTATAGCCTTGCTATTTCCTGTTGGTCTTTCATCAATACACTAAATGGTCCAGTCTTGCTTAGTTTTTTTCAAGAGTAGTCAAAATAGAAAAATGCTGCCATGTTTTGCTAGTACCAGTGAGCTCCAGTGGAAGAGAATATTGTAGCTCAGGGTTGAACTGTGGGGTCCTTGGTGCTCACTGAGCTTGGTTGTTTTCTTACAGACATTTCATTCGCTCAACATCATCATGAGGTTACCTTGTTGTTAATGAAAAGTCTGCAAAAAAAAAACAAACCCAACCCCAAGCTCAAAGAGCACCAAGAACCCCACACCGTTGAGTTCTTTAAGCAGTGCTCATTCCCTTGGTGAGATCAGAGTTTGAAGATCATCATAAAACTGGAAGAGATTTTTGATGTCTTCTAGTCCAAGCCCCTGGCCATGGCTGGAGTCCTTATTAGTTGACCAATCTTTTCTTCAAATTCTCCAGTGATTGAGCACCCACCCCATAACTCTGGGAGAAAAACTATTCCACTGATTTTTTTTAAAAAAAACTGGGTGTACAGGTGGTCCTCGATTTACGATCATAATTGAGCCCAAAATTTCTGCCTCTAAATGAGGTAGTTGTTAAGTAAATTTTCACCCCATGTTACGACTTTTCTTGCTGCAATTATTAAATTACTAACAGAATTGTCAGTAACAACCAGCTCAAGCAGTCTCCTGCTTGATCAGAGGGTTGGATTAGAAGACCTCCAAAGTCCCTTCCAGCTCTATTCTGATTGATTGATTGATTGATTGTTAAATGAATCTGGCTTCCATATTTGCAAGCAAAATATGATCACATGACCCCGGGACACTACAACCATCATAAATATGAATCAGTTGCCAAGTGTCTGAATTTTATTCATGTGAACATGGGAATGCTCTAAGGATCATAAATGTGAAAAATGTTCATGTCACTTTTTTCAGTACCATTATAACTTTGAATAGTCACTAAGTGAACTGTTGTAAATCAAGGACTACCTGTATTTCTTTCCAAAGAGTGTATTCTCCTGCAGTCTATCTTTATCAGATCCAATTTCTTTTACTTCAATGAGAGTTCACCAAATCCATTTGATAATTCAGTCTGAAGGAAAATCCAACAGTTAAGACTTTACATACATACCCAGATATATTTCAGTATTACCAATCATAATGTAGTTTGTTGGCTTTCCCTAAATATACTGTTGGAGGCTGGAATCCCGGACTGTCAGAAAGTCAAAAGGGGATTGCATGACCCCGGGACATTGCAATCGTCATAAGTATGAATCAGTTGCCAAGTGTCTGAATTCTGATCACATGTCCATGGGGAAGCTGCAAAGGCCATGTGGGTTAAAAATGGTCATCAATGATTTTTTTCAGTGCTGTTGTAACTTCAAACGGTCATTAAGCGAATGGCTCTAAGTCAAGGACTACTTGTAATTTCTCCTGTACAAAGTATTTATTTATTCTTAGAGTTCTATCCCCACTTTCCTACAGATGCTCAAGGCAATGTATTTATCCTTTCCTCTTGTAGATTTAGCCACAACCACCAACCCGTTGGAAAGGAATGAGACATAGTGACTGTGGCTACTGATCTGTTATCTGTTCTCTTGCCTGTTTGTGACTGTCTGTTTCCTGATGGTCCCTTTTGCTCTTGGCTGTGTGTCTCAGGCTGGAAAAGCAACATAGCCCACTGCAAAACTAGGCTGTGGGTTTGTCATAGTCTTTCAACCGGCTTAAGACAGATGACTTCCTTTAAATGAAGCTGAAACTTTTCCCAAATCCTGAAGTAGAACAAACACTTCACAATCCTGACAGAACATCCAAGTTATTCTGCATATCCTCCAAATTTTCCTTCTGTAATCACACTCCTCTTTCTTTTGTGGAATATCTCAGGATAAAAGGTTGTATTAGAATGCATGTCTCTACATCAATTGGATTATCTCCATGGGATAAACTAGAACAGAATAGTAACT